GATTCCCTCTGTCTAGGTTTAGTTGTCTGTTCCACAGTGAAAATTCATCTTAAAATCAAGTTAACATTTGTAATTTCTAAAATATTGATATTTTTCTATAAATACTGATATCTGGGGTTAGGGGTTCGATCCCAGCCCATGCAGTCAACATGTCGATGTATCCTTGGGCGAGATACTTAACCCCGATGGCCAACGGTGTGTGAGTGTGTGTGAATGTTAGTTCTTAGAGTAAGGTACACTGCTCTGTATGAATGGGTGTGAATGGGTAAATGACATGTAGTATGTAAAGCGCTTTGAGGGGTCTTAAAGACTGGATAAAGCGCTATATAAGTACAGTCCATTCACATTTCTATCTGTCATTGTTATTCTTCTTTTCAGAGGTCCAGGCAAGGTTCTCCTCTATTACCGTTACTGTCAAATTGACGATCCACATGTCATCTGTGCTTGGCAGAGAGCTTTGTGTGAGAAGCTGCACTTAACTGGCAAGGTGATTCAATCCTCCTATCCTGCCTCAAACTTAGATACTACAGAATTTTACAAGAAAAGAATTTACCTCAGTTGAACCGTCCTTTTGAAATATATCCTGTTCTCAGGTGAGGGTGGCGACTGAAGGCATCAATGGAACAGTCGGAGGCACCAACATGGCGACCGACGCTTACATCGACGCAACGCGATCACACCCTCTCTTCAAGATGGAAAAGGATGATTTTAAGGTCAGTCTAGGTTTGTTTTTATTAGACATACATTACATACAGTTATGTTTCTACACAGCACATTGCATCAATATGTCTGTTTTGTGTTGCACCATAAGCCACAGCAGACAGAGTTTTAAGCCTGTGACATAACATTAAAGAATCATATGACATTCAAAATGAGGAACGCACCGATATTGGATATTAGGCCGATACTGTCTCAAAGGTCTGGATCGAGACAACGGGCCGGTTTCAATTTGATTGAATGTTATTCTTTTTACATGATATAAACGGGAACGACCAATTTGTTGCTGCATTAAAAAAGGCAAACAATGTAATTCCTGTTCATTTGATAAATGAGTTGGGGCAGTGGGGCATACTGTACAGATATTAATTAAACACCACAGCCCAGGTATCAAAAATGCAAAAGTAAACAAGTCCTTTATTCTTTCTTATGCCAATTCTATGTATTTGAAGTGTTTGTCTCTGTCTCTGTGTGTGTTCAGACAAGTGATGGTGGTGCAGAGTGTTTTAAAGACCTGAGGGTCGGAGTCTATAAGGAAATCGTCCCAATGGGAATGGATCCTGATGTGGTGTCCTACCAACTGGCAGGTATCGTTTGTGTCATTCTGTTTTCACAATAACAGTTTTCCTATTTGTACATGTTTATTTAGCTCTTATATTGTGCTAGGAGTTTTGTTTCCTTACAGCTGATTTTGTGAAGATGAGTTATGTATCTGTCTCACCTTTCAGGAGTTCATCTGGAGCCGGAGGAGTTTCACAAAGAGGTGGAGGCTCTCTTGGCTAAAGCGGACGAGAACAATGACACCATCCTCCTGGACTGCCGCAATTTTTATGAGAGTAAAATTGTAAGTTATAAACGGGTTTTCACCAAAAACACAATTACATTTTTTGCCAAATTATACATGTAAATTATATTGAGAAAGATAAATTCCCATTAGATCCTTAAAAATGTTCACTAAAATGGAGAATGACAGTTTCCTCACACCTATCATAATTAAAGAAAGCCAGGTTTAATACTGTCTTTTTGAACTGTGTAAATGTTTTCCCTCCAGGGCCAGTTTACTCAGTGTCTCGCCCCGAGCATCCGTAAGTTCAGCTACTTCCCGGACTACGTGGACCAAAACCTGGATCTGTTCAGAGACAAGAGGGTGTTGATGTACTGCACCGGGGGGATCCGCTGTGAGCGCGGCTCTGCCTACCTCCGCTCCAAAGTGAGAGGACTCGTCTTGGGCCAATTGGACTCTTTATTTTAATGTAGCTGTTAGATAGCTAACAGGGGATGCTGTAACTCACATTGTGTCTCTGCTGAGTCATTGTCTGCTTGTCCTTTGACCAACACTCAGTTAACAGTCAAGGCAGGACACTACAGGTGAAAAGGGTAAAACATTTTTTAGATGGATCCCAGTTGAACTTTCCCAGGTGATTACTAACATTAACACAAGAACATTACAAGTTCTCTGAAATGTGTCTTTAAGGCTTAACATTTCTTAAATTTGTGCCGATTTGCATAGATGTCCACAGCTGGTTCAAATTTCTTGTTTTATTTTTTTGTTGACATAATTGATTGTCAAAGGATTTTACTGAAGGACTCTTAGATAGGTCTTTTTGTCACTCCATTAAAACAAAAATTCAGTCAACAACCATTAAAAAAAATGGATAGGAATAGATAAGTCTAGTTTAATTTATCTGTTTTTTGTTACCTGTAGGTTACCAAAGTAAGAGGACTCGTCTTGGACTTAAACTAAAGAAAGCCAATTGGACACTTTATTTTAATGTAGTTGTTAAATAGCTAACATGAATGCCTCGTCCTGCAGTAACTCACATTTTGCTTTCAGTCTCTGCTGAGTCATTGTCTACTTGTCCTTTGCCCAACACTCAGTTAACAGTCAAGGCAGGACAGTACAGGTGAAAAGGGTAAAAATACTAAGCGATATCACCAAGAAACTTCCCCAGTTGATTACTAAAATCGAGACAATTTTATACAATAGTTAATTTTCTGAAATGCTGTGTTTCAATATTTGCTCATTTGCATAGATGTCCGAAGCAGAAAGCTTAGGTTCAAAACTCTTGTTTTGTTTTGTTGACACGTTAGCGTCAAAGGATTTTACTGAAGGACTCTTAGGTAGGTATTTTTGTCTCTCCATTAATCCGAACAATTCTGTCAACAACCATTAAAAAACAGTTTGGCCATGTTTTTAGGAACAAATGTGTACATTGTGAACACATCCCTCTGCAGAAATAACTCATTATATAGATACTAGGAATAATGCCAACACGGAATAAACTATTTTAGGAAAATATTTGTATTGTTAAATGTTCTGTAATTTTAGTTTAATGCATCTGTTTTTGTTACCTGTAGGATGTTTGTAAAGAGGTGTACCAGCTGAAAGGTGGAATCCACAGATATCTGGAACAGTTCCCAGAGGGTTTCTACAGAGGAAAGCTTTTTGTGTTTGATGAACGCTACGCCATCTCCTCAAACAAGGACATCATCTCAGGTTAGTTTGTGCATAAATCAGCACCAATTAATTGATTAAATACAGACAGAATAACATCACAAATAACATGAAAAGCACTAAGGCCTTTGCTCTGTACACTGAAACTAAAATGATAAAAACATTTCATTTATCTTTGTATTAGATAGCTATTTCTGAAACAAAAAAATAGTTAAGAGTATCGATAAACATGAATAAACACTGACATGCAGTTCCAGTGGTTCCCAACCTTTTTTGTCTCGTGTACCCCTTGAGCTGGTTTCCATTCTATAAGTACCCCTCACTCATCTGATTATTCGCCTGATTCTTTTTTCGTGTATTAAACCCTATGTTATCGTTTAACCCAACTGCTCCTCAAATGAAAATCACGTATATAAATCACATTTAATACAAATGCATTTAAACTTGAAATGTACACTTGTTGTAAGGTAACAAAAATGATGTTAAGACTACTTATTTAGGAAGCCAAAAATGTATTTTTTTAGGACATGGCCCCTCCCCTCTGAACAGTCACTTTTATCCATCATATTTGAAAAGAAACATTGTTATTTTCTGTATTTCTGTAAGACACAAGTTATTTATTTATTTAGCGATGACTTGTGCTATTTTTAGAACGGACGACCAGGCACCTGCGATCCCCTGAAGTACCCCTAGGGGTCCCCGTACCCATTAGATTACATTACATTTCACTTGTTAGACGCTTTTATCCAAAGCTACCCCCTGATTCGAATTTCAGCGCACTATCCACTGAGCCACAGCCTCCCACAGCCTCCCACACCTTCTGGTTGGGAACCACTTGTCTAATGCAACTCTTTGTTTTAGAATAAGGAACCTAATTACATCTCTGTGCAGAATGCAGATACTGCGGCTCTCCCTGGGACCGGTACCAGCTCTGCTCCACCCGGTTCTGCTGCCAGCTGGTTCTGTCCTGTCTCGGCTGCAGACAGGACGGACGCACCGCCTGCTGCCCCGCCTGCCAGACCAAGGGACAGAACCAGAGCCAGGCGTCTGGTCCGCATCACAAAGAGGAGTGTGAGTGCACTGAAGGACGTCCCAGAATCCCTCAGGATGCGTAGCAATGGAGACGCTACGACTGGACAGGGGCTTTCCACCACGTGAATAATGATGCCTGTCCAAGATTATAAATCACAGCTGAAATTAGAGGATGGGGCCCAGTTCATTCACTTTTTTATATGAATATTGGGAATTAAGTCAGATGTATTGTTTATTAAAGGAGTTTTATTCTTAAGAAAGTCATCTGTGAAGCTGATACCAAATGGAAACAATTTTAATTTGTTTTTTAATTGAGAAAATATAAGAATGCATCTGCAAAATCAATGATTTTTTTTACATGGATTTTCTGAATCTGGAATGCCTCATCAATAATCAAATCTGAGTTCCAGGTGATATAAACTTATTATTTTCTGTGTGTGTGTGCTTGGTTTACTATATACTATAATATATATGCGTATTACTAGTTTTTATTTGCCAAAATTGTCATAGTTTTACAGATAATGTTGTTTGACCATTTTAGTTATGCTGCATAACAACTTGTATATACAACCATATCAAAAACACAGTATGCATAGCAGTTATCTGGTGCTCTGTTATCCATGCGCTCTGGTGAAAGCAGGTTACTGAGACTGCAGGTGTTGCTTCAACACTTCAGAAAACCACAAGCAGCAGCACGTCTCTGTGGCTGACTCCGGTTGACTCGTTTTTATTTTTGAAAAACCCCTCATATAATTGGGGATAAAACACTTAAAATGAAACCATGCTGAAGCAGGCCACGTGAAAGAAACATACACAAAGGTACAGTACTTTTTATGTTTTCATTTCCTTTATTTTCTTTGTCAGTTTTCATGTTTTGAGAGATTTTGTGTCCTTGCCAGCTGACACCTCTGAGGGACAAAAAAGGTAATTTGATGCAATGATTTCAAATCAATCCAAAATGTAATGGTTTTCAAATTGTAGTCAGATTATCGGAACATTATAAAGAGGATTCGTGTTGGTGGATGTATTTATAAAATTTAAAAAATGACACAATCACAACATTTCTTATATTTTCATATCGTCGCTCGATTTAATAGACTTTTTTTTTCTTTTTTTTCAATGCATTTAATACTTGTCATAAAATGAATGACACACATACAATCTTGCTGTTATTAATAAAACATAGTTGTTAGTAGTTGTAGTGCTATTAAAGATTAAGCTTTGAAGTACAATTTGACACGAGACATTTCTTAAGGCTAAATAACAAATAGCAAAAGCCCAGGAAACAGGTTTGGAGTTAGGAAAAATATAAATTAATGTATATAATGAAACACAGCTCATAAAAAGGAAATCTAACAGCTGAAATATTATAATAAATATTCATAGGTAACAGAAAATAATACAAAAATACTGCAATAGTCAAGAAACATACAATATTCCAAAGAGAAATGACAGTTAAAACATTAAAACACACGCACTAACCCTCTATTACACTGAGAAATAAACAGTTTTGTGCAGGATGTGCAAATTACAATGATAAGATAATATCATATTTAAATGTTTCTATAAATGCATTTAAAGGTCACCTATTATGCAAAATCCACTTTTTCATGTCTTTTCTACATCAACATGTGTCCCCTCTGTGTAAAGAGATTCTGAAAGTTTCGGGGAAAAAACTTCTCTCTCTTTTTGTCCTGATCCATTTATATAAAAAACCTGTGAAAATGAGCTGATCAGATTTTGGCCACTTTATGATGTCAACAATTTTTTGGTTTATCTAACCATTAACCAATCACCAACCAAGGTAAAGCACTTTTGAAACAGAGGGGATTATGGGATGCTGCAATGATCTTTTTGGTATTTTGAGGCCAAATACTTCAGAGACATGTTTTGTATATCTGAGACCTATAATAAAGTATAATAGGGGACCTTTAAATCCTTGTCATAAAATGAAGTATACACACACTTGCAAAGAACATCCAGCAGAGGGAGAGGAAGGACCAGCAGAGAGCCGGGAGAGTGATCCTCAACATCCCGACTGGAAGCTTCGCTCTCAGCCGAGAGGACCTGCTTGCTGCCCGGGTCTTCACTGACCAGCAGACACCTCTCTCTCTGCAGCATTTCTGGGAGGTGAAGTGGAGACAGGCTAATGTGCATTTACCCAGACCTGTGGGAATAAGGACGGGAGGACCGAGCGATGTCTTCGCCGGGTTACACCGTAAACTACAGCCGGAATTCGACGCTGAACGGCGGATCGGCACCTTCCCATCAGAACGGTAACGGAGGCCGGGATGATGCGATTAGCCTGCTCGCTAGCCTTAGCATGCTAACACTCTGGGGGGGATGTCACTTAGTGTGTCAGCACCCTGTTTCTTTATTTTTTTATTTCTTTATTTTGTATAACTGTCCCATGGCATTACCTAAACCAGTTACATACATTTAAAAATAAAAGCGACATGTATATCATTCTTCTAACTGCGAAAAATGAATGAGCTTAAGCTATTGAGGTGCTAACTTAACCTGTATCCCATAGAGATAGCTAGCGGCTAACATTAGCTTTAAGCGAACGATAGCTATCAAAGCAGGATTATTATGGTGTGACAGAATGTGCAGCATCTCAATAGAATACTCACTTTATATGACATGTTTGACAATATATGAGTTCGTTAGATGTGTACTGATATAATGTAGTGGTTATTGATGGGATGCATATTCAGTTCACCGGGTATTAACCCTTACAGCTGAAGCACCAGCTGCTGATGAGGCTTGTTGTTTACAGCTAATGACACCCTCTGTTCAGTACTCTATTTGTGAGCTTTGGTGGAAGTAGAATATATGTTTGACTCTGTTTGTAAATGCACTCTCTCTCTATCCAGGTCCAGCACAGACGTACCAATCCATGCATCCTCCTGCAGGCTGCTATGGAGCCCCACCTCAACAACAGAGCTACCCCACCATCCCTGCCCAGTCCACCCCTCCCATCAAAGCCCCCCTCATGAACAGTGCCCACAGTGCTAACTACTACCAGAGCAATCATCAGCAGCAACAGCAGCACCTCTCTCAGCACCATGTAGCACCCTCCTCATACAGTGCTCCCCTGAACTCTGCACCTCCTTCTCAGCCATATCCACCTTCAGCACCGCCGCCATCAAATGCCCACTACAACCAACAATCATTCCAGCAGCAGCAGCAGCAGCAGCAGCAGCAGCAGCATCCTCCATATGCCACTCCAGGATCCTACTATACACAGCAGGCATACCATGCTCCCCCAGCAGCAGCACAGCCCTTTCAGCAGCAGCAGCAGCACCCCAGTTTGGTGCCTGCACCGCCTGGTGCCCCTGGAGCTCCCCTCTACCCAATTGTTTCCTACCCGTCTGCGCCTGGAATTAGCCAGTACGGCACCCTGAGTTCCTCCCAGAGCACCTCCAGCCTTGGAGTCATGCCGACCCACATGGGTGCACCGCTGCATCAGTACAACAGCCCTCCGCCGGCCACAACAACAACAGCAGTGCAGTCTGGGTACAGCGCGGCTCCTCTTAATCAGCAGGGGCCGACAGTCAATGGTCAAGGAAGCACAGGTACGTGTGAAGGGTTAGTTTACGCTTGAAGGATCAGATGCTGGCTGGAAAGAGACATCCATTAAAAGTGTAGTCTTAATCTAGAACACTATATACATTTGGTGTTGCAGAAACATGCACACTAGCTGTATCGGTCATATAGTTTAGTGATTTTCATGTGTCTTCTTTCCAGCTCCATGTGTCGCTTATAAAAAAATATTGTACACCCAAAATGATTAGTGGTATATCAGTTATCCATGTTACCTTGAGTTCATGGTGAAAACGCAAAAAAAAATTGTGTGCATACTTGCATGGGAAAGAAATAATTAAAGACGAGACAATTCTCGATTTACTAACTTTCACAAAACCCCAGGCAGTTTTTCTGTGGAGGCTTGATAGTAACAATGATGTTTTCTTCATGGAAACGAGGTTATATGAGTGAGTAATTGATACATATGGTCCTTTGGGGGAAGTATTGTTATGGGTCAAATACTTACTGCCAACTCTTGGGTGATTTTGAAATCAACAGTTTCTTTCCAGTTGTGTGTGAAGCTATATATAGCTTTCATATTGGCTACAGAACAGAAGGGTCCACTTATAAAAAAAGAGTCCTACTGACATTAATAATGCATGGCTGAAATGGGGTCAATTATTGTGTCATTTGATTGACAGCTGTTTCTAGTTTAATGCTGTTTGTAGCTCTTGTGTTTCTTCAGTGCCAGTCTTTATTTTGAGTTTCGATCTTTGTTCATGCAGACCTCCATTCTTTGGTATGAAGTGTTTTCCCTTATCGTCTTTGTGTTTTCTTTCCCAGTGCACCAACACTATGACCAGGGCCACCAGGCGTCTCTGAGCTACGACACGTACAGCGGGGTCGTTCACACAGACCCTCGGCCCTCAGGAACTCAACCAACTTCAGTGCATTCCTCACCGGGCCACCACCAAGGTAACCTTTTACCTTATTTCCCTACCATACATGAGATGACACGTGGTTCAAAAACTTGAATCTGCCTTGTTACCCCTCTTCAATGCAGCTGGGACTGATCAACTAACAGCAGCTTGTAAAATAAAGTTGTTGAATGTTGAAACTGAGGAATGTAAGCAAAGGGCCTCGTGTGTCTGTATGACTGGTATGAATGTTTTGTTGAAAGTTGACAAACTACTGTTTTTCAGCTCACTTTCCAGACAGAATGTGAGTTGGAGATGTGTTACATTGAAGCTTTGAATATAGAAAGACAAAACAATTCCAAGTAGACAGAAATACCAGGGAAACTTCAAAGCATTTCCTTCCTTCCTTGGACCTTAAAACAATCTATAACGCATTTTCAAGGCTTGTTTTTAATTATAATAATAAAGCTTTATTTGTATAACAACATGGTACACTTCACAAATTGAGACGAAACAACAAATTCTCTTCAGTTCAAACGTTAAAAACTTTTTACATGCAGCATAAAAGCACAGTATAACAATTCAATGGACACAAGGAGCTCAAAAGATACGATTTTAAATAAGTACAATAAAATAAATAATGATCCAAAAGTTCATGATAGATAACCCTCAATTAATAAATACAATGAAATATTAAAACCTAAAGAATAAATATGTCGAAAAATAAAGATTAAAAGACAGGCAAAATCTAGAAACAATGAATTGTAACACTTAACCGGACTCTGCCGTGGCAATAAAGACACGTTTTCTTCTTGTTCGAATGTTGAGGCCTTTTTACATATTTCCTGTTTTTTTGTTTCACTGCTTGCAAGAAAACCTCATAGCAGTGAATTGGTTTCACAAGGTGCCCTTTCTTTGGTGTTGAGGTGAAAACTCTGTTCTATCCTGCTTTACTCTGGTGTCTGAACATGAAGTCCTTATAGGAGGGAAAAAACACATCTCTTGGCTCCTGCTTTTTGTCTTTTCTGGTGCAGCGACTTCCACAATCCCATGTTTAGACGTTCAGTCTGAGTGTTTGAAAACCTGCTCTAAATTGTGTGTGTGTGTGTGTGTGTGTTGTTCACAGCTGCAGCACACACACTTCCAGGCACACGCGTGCAGGTGTGAGTACTTTATACAAATGTGAGGGTTTCAGTTTGAAGCAGCCAGCTGCTGGTTTATTCAGTTTGTGACCTGGGATTTTTTTCACTGTCAGCGAAGCTTAAAGAAAACCAATGGACCTTTAAAGCTTTGCATAGTCTCAGCATGAATGAAGAAGTGTTTATGGCATTTCTCAAGATTGTGCATTCTCTGAGGCCGGTGAAATGCAGTGGTGTGGTGTAATGAAGTACATTTACTCACATTTTGAAGTGGTTGTATTTTCATTCCACTTCTAGTTTGGGAACCAATAGTGTTTCTCCACCAGTAACCCTACTTTCAGAGTATATTTTGATGATGACATGCAACAGAGTATTTCTACAAACCAGTATTGCTAAATAAATAATCTTCCACCTTCAGTAAACATGTGCTAAATCAGTTTCTTCAGTCCCAGAGATATTGGCTTCAGGCGACATGTTAATAGCAAGTGGATTATAGGACACACACCAGACACACCTCTGTGTTAAAAGTTACGCACTGTTTAAAGTGCTACATTCATGTTTAATCTAATTTTGGGATTATTTGTTGCTGGGTAAACACAACAGTAACATAAGACGGTTTCAGTAATGTTTTAAAATGTGCAAGGCTGTGGTGTAGATGCAACTTCTCACGTGGCCTCTGAAATGTTACTGCTGGATAGTTTGGATGTTTTGAAATGAGGTATTATGAGGAACTTATCCATACTCAGTGTTTTACAGTAGATGATGGACAGCTTGCTCCAAGTTGGGAAAGAGACAGGTGTACACTACAGTGGTAAAGCAACAGCGCTCGACAGAGGCAGCAGCAAATCTTAATTTGGCAAAAACAAAATGAGTTTAAAAGTAAGATAGCTAATGTCATTTAGAATATTCTCTCTGCCTTACTTCCTGTCAGAGAGCCCTTTCTGTCAGGAAACGGAAGCCACAGAAAAAATTCCTTTGACAAAATCAGAAATGTTACTTTGACAAAAATGTCTCATACCTTAGACTCTGTTTTTGTCGAAGAAGTCCCGAGGCTTTGCAGAGTACACGGATGATAGCTTCTGTGCTGCTCTCCGTTTGTCCAGATTGGGGATGTGCAGACTGCCATCTACTGGGATAAGCACCTCACATTTCAAAATCAATTGAACTATCCTTTTAATGTTAAGCAACCTAGCTTGATGCGAAATCAGTTTAACCTATGTTATCACCAGAACACTCTCAATATCTTTCTCAAAGGTCTTGAACTTTTTAATCCATGAAAGCAAATATAACCAGATTTGGTATTAAAGGTAATTTCACTTGATAGACAGAGAAGCCATTTCTTCAACACACGCTTAGACACACTCTCAAGGTTTGAAGATGGAATATTGATATGTATAAGTTGCAAACAGATGTTATGGATGTTCTTTCAAAAGTTCAGGTGTTTCAAAGTCTTAAAGTCTGTGGGAGGAGACTATCCCTGACTACTTCTTACGTCACATGACATTGAGTTGCCTAATCTCCATCTCCCTCTCTGCAGTCCTGACAGTTTTCTC